TGTTCTAATGGTGTTTGTAAATAGGATCACAAGTCCGCATCTTGTACAGCAATTAACCACTAAGAAGAATATATGCAGTGTATTATTTGTTGAAAAATAAAAAAAAAATAAATAAAAAAATAAACAGTTTTCTTCAAGGACTTTCATAGATTTTTAGATTCACAGAATTGTATGGTGCATTCTGAATCAACTTTTGTGTATGGTATAAGGCCAGAATGAAGGTTTTGTGCTTGTGTATGTGTGCACCTTCTTGTTCCTACAGTGTGTATTGAAAAGGTCTCTCTTCACTGAATGCCTTTGTATACTTTTAAAATCTGTCTTCCACGTTCAAGTGGTTTGCTACTATGTTCTCTATTCTGTTCTATGCATCCTTCTAACTTTAGGTTGATATCACTTTGTCTTGGTTATTGTAACTTATAAAAAGTCTTAAGATAATATTAAAAAAATAATATTAGTGGTACCAATTTGGTCTTTTGGTTTTGAAAAACAATTTTTTTAAAAGACCTACTTTAAGTCCTTTATATTTCCTCCTAAGGCTTTTAGAATCAATTTTCTAAAACAAAAACAAAACAGCCCTCTCAAAGCTCTTAAACCCTCTTTGGGCTTTGGGATTGCACCAAGCATGGACAGCACAGTTTGGAGAGACCTGATTTCTTAAGAAAGTTTGGTCTTGGCTAGGAGATGTCTCAGCAGCATAAGCGCCTACCTGGCAAGTGTAAGGTCCTGAATTCAATCCCTGGTACCAAAAAATAGAGAAAAATTTAGTCTTGTGTGTAGTCAATCGTGAATGTGATGCATTTGTTAGGCTTGTCCTAATTTCTCTTAGTGTTGTTGCTATTCACAGCATACAGGTAATACATATCTCTTGTTTAATTTATCTCTAAGTATTTCATACATTTCGATGCTATTATAAATGGTATTTTATTTCAGTTACGCATTGCTCATTGCTATTATATAAAGTAACTTTTTTTTTTTTTTTGCTTGGTTGGTTTTTGTGGTGCTGGGGATCAAACCCATGGCCCTGTGCATGCTAGGCAAGTGCTCTATCACTGAGGTACGTCTCTAGCTCCTACAGTTTATTTTTGTACATTCATAATATACCTCAGTATTTACATTATTTTTGTACATTTAATAGGCTTTACTACTTAGGCAATAAAATTGTCTACAAAAAATGTTGCTTTATTATTTCCAAATTAGATGTTATTTATTTATTTTTTATTTTTCTCACCTGATTGATAGATTCCATGGTGCAATAATGCCGCTAATCAATAAAGCCAGAAATCTTTGCCTTGTTCCTGCTCTCAGAGAGAAATCAGTCATTTAAAAAATATTTACTTTGGCCAGCCAAATAGCTCAGTGGATTAAAGTGCCTGTAAGCAGGCGCAGGGACAAGGGGTTAGATGCCTGGGCCTGCCATGCTGGCCCTGCTCCAGGGGCACGCTGAGACAGCGATTGAGACTGGGAGTGGTGGTGTATGCCTATAATCCCAGCTTTTGGGAGGCTGTAAACAGGCGGATCACTATGAGTCTGATCTAGTAGTGAGACTCTCAACACCCTGTAGACCCTTCCCTAAAATAACAACAACAACAACAACAACAACAACAACAACAACATCCCAAAGAAAACTTTACTTATTTGATACAAGGTCTTGCTATGCAGTTCAGACTCCCAGTGATCCTCCTCTTTTTAGCCTCTCCAGTGCTAGGATTATAGGCATGCACCATCATGCCCAATCTTGGTGGCTAGCTCAGTGTGCCCAAGGTTCTGGGATGTGCATGGCATGAGGTACCAGGGATTGAACTTGGACCTTGCACTTGCCAGGCAGGTACTTAGACTGCTGAGGTATCTCCCCAGCCTGAGAAATTAAGTACTTCTGTTGCTTGTGGTTTTTCAGAGATGTGTGTATCAATTTAAAGAAGTTCTCTTGTATTCTTAGCTTGCTGAAAAGTTTTTATTTTTAATTAATAATATATGCTGGCTATTGCCAAATGCACTTTCTGTGGTTTTTCTTTTAAATGTAATTACAAGGCCTACAGGGTCTCACTATGTAGATTAGACTCGTAGTGATTCTCCTGTTTTCAGCCTTCCAAGCACAAGCACTGGGGTTACAGGTGCATGCCACCACGCCCAGTCTCAGTTGCTGCCTCCAGCATGCCTCAGCACAGCAGGCTGGGGATAGATTTACTGTGTTTATTGACGTGGTTGTATGAATTTCCTTTCCCTAAAATGGTGGATTACATTGTTTGATTTTTTTTTTTTTTTCAGAACCGGGGATTGAACTCAGATCCTTGTGTTTGCCAGTCAAGCACTTATCCTACTGAACCATCTCCCCAGCCCCTACATTGTTTGATTTTAAGTGGCAAAGCTACCTTGCATTCTAGAGATGGAACCTATAAGGTCATTCCATATCATCTTTTTATGTATTATCATTGAAATCTATTTGCCAAAATTTCATTTTGAACTTTTGTGTCTAAGTTCATGAATGATCATGATCGGCTCTTTTCTTCCTTCTCTTTCTCTTTCATTCATTCTCCTCTCTCCTTCCCTTCCTTCCTTCCTTCCTTCCTTCCTTCCTTCCTTCCTTCCTTCCTTCCTTCCTTCCTTCCCTACTTTTTGTGGTACTAGGGATTAGGCCAGGGCCTTTGCACTCAGCTACATCTCCAGCCCTTCTTTATTTTTTATTTTAAGACAGGCTCTTGCAAAGTTGCCCAGGCTTGAGACCCTCCTTCCTCAGCCTCCCAAAGTGCTGCAATTAGAGGTGTGTGCCACGACACCCAACCTATTTTCTTCTCTTATGGTGTCCTCTCTCTCAATGATACTGCTCATTGTTGTCTGGCATCCAGTATCTTGAAAAAACACATTTGTTCTCTCTTTTAGTTGTGGGTGGAAGAGAAACCCCTCCCTGGTCTCCACGGCAGATGGAGTGGGCAGTCCTTTGGACTCAGCATACTTCATTGAAATTTTCAGGTTTTGCTCACTGAGGTGAAAGGAGCCAACTACACAGCCTCCAAAGCTTCTGTGTCACACAAAACAAGACCATGTGTTCCCGTTCCTGTGTCCCCTCCTCTGGTACTATCACATTCTAGTGTCCTTGATAACTGCAGTGTATTCATCCTTCACTATGCTCAGACTCTCCCACATTTCAGTGTCATCCAGAGAATCCCAGTGACTTGGGGGGCAATTGCTGCTAAAGCTTTCATATCAATTTTAATAAGAAAATCCTCTGGCTTTCATCCAAAACAGTAGTTCCCCCTTCCTCTGTTAGCCCAAACCCTTTGTCTTCCCCTCTACCTATCCTCTGACCCTATGCCCTTCCACCTCCTCTTCCTGCAGATTCACAGTTGGTAAGGGATGTCAGGCCCTACTAGATGATGCCACCGTGTTCTCTCACTTAGGAACAACCATTGAATCTGGAGACGGAATGACGTACTTTGTGCCCATCATGGATGGCTGTCCTTTGCATCAGTCGACCTTCCAGCTGGATGTAGCCGGCCAAGACCTGACCTTGTACCTCCTGCAACTACTAGCAGAGAGGGGGAACTTGTTGGTAGGCACAGGTAAAACACTACTCTTCTCAGCCAGGCAAATCAGTGCTTGGATATGAGTTTTTCTCTGTGGAATCAACTCCAGCCCTCAATTTGCAAAGCTGAAGCTACTGTACCATCATCTGAATTCCAAAAACAATGCTGTCCATACTTGGATTCTTTATAATGATGAGGAAGTCAATCGTAGTGATGGTGAAGAGGGCGATAGTGAAAATGGCGATGTTGAGGGGCACTTTAGCCTCTGACAGCAATGATGGGAGAACACTGAGGATATGATAGGGAGGAAGATGTAGCGACAATAATGGTGGTGATGGTGAGGATGATGGTGGTGGTGGTGGTGGTGGTGGTGGAGTGATGGTGATGGCAGTAGTGGTGAAGATGGTGGTAATGATCGTGATGGTGGTGGTGTTCATGGTGATGGTGATGATAACAGTCAGCTAGGCTTTACAGAAAACCTCCTCTGTGTAGAACATTGGGCCAAGTGAACATTTCACACTCATTCCCCCATTGCTTCTCACTACAACTCTCTGAGGAGGAGTAATTATTTCTATTGCAAGAAGAGGCCTAGGAAGGCTAGAAGGTTTGACAAATGTCCCATAAGTAGTAAGATATTAGCTCTAGAATGTGAACTCGAGGAGTACAGACGAGGCTATGCTTGCCTCTCTTTGTGCCTAGTTCCTAGACTGGATTTCCAGCATGTATGGAACCCAGTCCCAGTAAGCCTACAACCCTACACTAGACTTTCTGGTCTCCTTAGGAAAGAAATCTGTGTCAAAACCCAAGCAAAGCACAGAATCCTAAAGAATAACAGCAATTAGAGAGCAAAGTCACCTCATGTCATCAACACCTGACACCTAGCAAGGTCTCTGTGTGCATTACTTCATCCTGTCCTTACAGTAGCCCAGAATGGGACAGTCAGTCCTAATCTTGAAATTAAAGACAAGGAAGGTTTGACAGAATAATAAGTTTGCTTATATCTAGGCATTTAGTAAATGGCAGTGGTGTGATTGAACCCAAATTTGTCTCATGGAAGATCGAACTAGGTGATGAATGTGAAAATATCAGGAGATTGTGGTGTCTCAGGAACCAGGGGAAGGTCAGGAAGTAGTTAACTGCATCAGCTGATGGATAGCAAGAAGGGAAGTATGTTCTCAGGGCTTTGGAACTAGAGGATGGACATGCCTGGGCAGGAGCAGACTTGGGAGAAGAAGGAAGGGGAAAGTCTGAGGTTAGAGATCAAAGAGTACATGGGGTTTCCAGATGGAAAGTGCAGGGAATTTCCTATTGATTCAGAATTATAGGCAATACCAGGTGATATCTAAAGCTTGAGTAGTGCCCAAGGTGCAGTTGGACTTCAAACATGTTGGCTTCTCTGGAAGGGGCAGGATACAGCTTCCAAATGAAGGGTGTTGATTGACGTTGGGTGTCTCAGATCCGGGTACAAATGTAAGCAGTACACAGCACCTCCTGTCACTGAAGATGATAACCAAGTTCGATTTCCCAGCCCTCCAAAACTCACACCGCATGTAGTCAGGTCTCAATTTATAAAATGCTGAGCATTTCCAACACCTCACTTCTCAGTTTAATATCCCTGTGCTGCCTTCCTGTCCGCTATCGGTCCCCCATGTGGCATGGGCCAGGAGACCCCAGAGAACAAGAGCAATATGGACACAGAGCTGCAGGGATGGTCTGCTCCTCACCACAATGCACACTCATTTCATGCCTTCTCCCTGACACTCTCCTTTTGTCTACTAGCTGACCGGGAGTACGTCCGAAATGTGAAAGAGAAATGCTGCTATGTGGCGCTGGACTTTGACAAGGAGAAGGTGAAAGCTAGTGACCCACCTTCCTGCCCACAGGCATTTCAGCTCCCTGATGGCCAGGAGATCAGCCTTGGGCAGGGGGCTTTTGTATGTCCTGAGGCGCTCTTCCAGACTAACTTCATCGGTGAGTTCCAGGAAGTGGTCAGAGGTCAGGCCAGGACCAGCAGATGGGTGCAGGGTCAGAAAACAGGCACCAGGCAGCCAGGAAGGAAGCATAGTTTAAGTGGCAAATCAATACCCTGTTTCAAAAGTTCCCCTGGGATCATCTATCACATATCTAAGCACCTGCTATACACTTGTCACTCTGTTGACCTCTGTACATAGTGACCTTTTCTTCCCTCCCTTTACTTGTGTCGCCCCATTTTATGGAGGAGGAAATTCACCCCAAGTCTTAAAGCGTTTGTCAAGTGTAATTACAACCGCACTGGGCTGCTGGTCTTCTTCATAAAGTATTATGTATAACTCCCCCTACTCTAAAATAACTAGATATATAAAATGAAGACAGTCAAGGCAGAAAAGCAAATTCCATAAATATGGAGGAAGCTCCCTGTCTAACTTAGGGTTGGTCTGGAGATTTCAAGTGATCCTTGAGTTGCCTAAAGCCTCAGGCAGGCCTGGTTGATTAAGGAAAATGACAAATTCTTTTACAATCCAAAGTGAATGGGAAAATGAAGCCTCTAAGAAATTATGGAAAAAATACTCCCTGATATCAAATTCGTATAATAATGCATTACATTCCTAAGAGTTGGAAGGAGTTAGATGTGGGGGCCTAACCATTTCTCCAGGACTAGCACCTGGTAGGAACTCATGCTGATAACCTTGTAGGAGCTACCTGGGTCTAGCTCTATTTTTTCTGCTACACTGAGTGGGAGACCTAGTCTTAAAAACATCATCAAAAGATCCTAGCACCTGCCCCAAGTGCCTGGTGGGTAGTGAAGAAGTGACTGAAGTCTTTCCCTCATCTGGGCTCCAGAGAGGAGGGTCAGGCTGGGTCCCAGTGGATGTGAAAACAGCCCCGGGCTCATGGCACTGCAGAGCCCTCCTGCCTGGCACATCCCACACCACTTGTGATTTTGTCTCCTCAATCTTGCACCTGGACTCCTCAGCTTGAGTACAGTGAGGTGGTATCAGATGCCACCCTCCCAGAAGCTCCTGCTTTCAAATAGACAATAACACAACTCATGCAGTTCTTCTGGGCCATTCTCTTGCTCTGCATGTGTGGAGAACATTCCCTCCTCTGGGCAGGGGTTGGGATGCCAGGTAGAGAGGAGAGCGCATGGTTAGCTTCAGAGAATCTCTTCCTTTCACAGCCTATGTGTGGTCACTTCTCCCTCTGCTTCTGCCATCTGAAGGACATAATGGTCCAAGGCAGGAGGTGTAACATATGTAAATCACGGTTCAGGACAGGACACTCTGTGTCATTTCCCAAAGCTGCCTGAACCAAGATGCTGACCCTACGAAAATCCTTTCATGAAATTGTTGATGCCTAGACATGACAAGTTAGCAATTGTCAATAACATTGGAACATAAATTCCCTTGGTGAATGAGGAGACTTAGAATTTATTCTGACTGAGAGCAGTGGAGTCCTCTGGTTGGTTGGTTGGTTGGGCACATCTGTCACTACCTTGCTAAGCCCATGTGTGCCTTGCTGTGGTAGGTGCTGATGGTATTAGAGGTGCTCGGGAATATCTGTGACTAGGGGTTGTCATCTCTTAGAGCCTTCAATTGGAAGGGAAGAACTCAGGAGTACAACAGATCTAGCTTCCATCCTCAAGCTTCCTTCTTCCTCCACCCTTCTTGACAGGGAGAAACACCCTGGGGATCCACATGATGGCCAGCCAGTGTATCACCTCCTGCAACCCCTTCCTCTGGAAGACCCTCTTCAGCAACATCATCTTGTCCGGAGGCACCGGCTCTTTCTCTGGCTTGCGATTACGACTGCAGAGAGAACTAGCTGGACTGGTTTCCCCTGCTATTGATGTGAAGGTACAATACCCTCAGGTCACCCTCTGGGGCCTCCCCTTTTCATTCCAAAGATGTTTCAAGAATGCCTTGGATGAGACAAGCTTGGGTTCTGATGCACTTTGGGAAGCATCAATGAACAAAAGCATCAGAAACCAGAAGTAGCAGATGATGTACACTATAGAACACGAGGGGAAGTTGTGTACAGGAAAGGGTTTCGAGCCCTTGGGGGAGCAAGGGGGCATCAGTGTGGGCAGGGTGGGGTGCTGAGGTGCAGGGGATGTTAGGGTGCATCTTCTCAAGAAGATGTGGTTGCTGGTGATGAGTGGACAGGTGGAGAACAACCTGGGTGATGGTGCAGAGCTTGCTCTAAGGAGCAAGGCAGGGAGCACCGCTGGCTGGTGAGCAAGGACTAGATGACAGGGATAGGGAAGTGGAGAGGCTTTCACCCTGCAAGAAGTGGAAAGAACCTGCTGGAAGGTTTAGACAGAGGAGTCACATAATTCACCTAATCTCTGAAGGCTTAGGCTCCGGACAGGAGGGCAGACTGTCTTCTACGGAGGATGGAGGACTGTCACGGGTAAGGAGGGCAGACCACCAATAGATGAGGAGTGCTCACCTGGCCCTACATCCTTCCTGCCTCACCACCCAGCTCTCTAGCTACTGCAAACTCCACAGGCCAACTTGGGAACACTCAGGGACATGTCTCCTGCTGTTGGCTCCTGGGTGAACCTCACCAGAGTGACACTGCTGTGCCCATTAGCCAACCTGCAACCTTGTTTCCTCCTCTAGGCAGGGGTTGGGGATGCCAGGTAGAAAGGAGAGTGTATAGTTAGCTCAGAGAATCTTTTCCTTTCACAACCTATATGTGGCCACTTTTCCTTCTATTTCTGCCATCTGGAAGACACAATTAATGGTCCAAAGCAGGAGGTGTAATATATGTAATGTATAGGGAGGGACAAACAGAGGCCACCAGGCTTGTGTAAAGGCAACATGGCATGGAATTTATTGTGCCTAGGTTTGGGCAGAGAGCATGATAAGAGCATCTGCCCAGCACAAAGAGAACTATGTCCCTTTCATAGGGATGGAGACAAGGCAGGGGACACTAGGTGGGAAGATCCCAGTGTACAGCTATGGCCAAAGTTCTCTGGAAGTCTTGCATCTCAGTTGGCAGAGTCCTTGAAGTATCCAATGTAAATTCTTGGCTGTCTCCTGATGTCCCCAGGACCTGCAAACTAATCCCTTGGCTTGGTATCTGCAGCTCTCTAGCCTGCTGTGCAGGAGGGCTCCCTCACCCCACACCACCCACACCCCTCCCACATGTCAAAGCTGGCTGCTCTAGGGCCCTCGCTCAGAGAATGACTGACCTGTGTCCTCGGTGTATCCTTTGCTGCTGCGGCTGCTGTCCCCTGGAGAATTGTCCTCCGTTCCCTAGCTGCTCAACACCGCTCCCCTTTAGAAAATGCTGTGTGCTTTAGCTTTCCATGACTGTGACAAAGTAACTGAGAACAACAGTTGACGGCAGGAAAGGTTTCTTTGGCTCATGGCTTCAGTGCACGGATGGCTGCTTCATTTGCTCTTAAGCCTGTGGCCAGGGAAAGTATCACTGCAAAAGGTTATGGTGGAGGAAGTTGTCCCTAATCTACTGGCTATGTCACCTTCCTTCAGGCCAGTGTCCCCTTCAGTTTGCTGCCGCACACTTCCTACGGTCCAGTGTGTCCCTGCTGCACATACCCAAGGCACTCCATCCTAATTTCTTAGGCATTTCCCCATCCAATCACGTTTCCATCTGAGGTTAAGCAGCACACCATAAAACATCACACCTGTTCACATTTGAGAGCCGTACCCCATCTGCATCCTCATTTTCTAATCTTTATATCAATATTCTTTAATTATCTTATACAATTTTGCAAAAATGCACATCATGTTGGACAACTGCTCCCTAACCGGTCTTCTCACCTCCTAAGTCAACCGCTTCAGCGATATCAGGAGACATGGAGTCACAACAATCATTTACGTAATAATGGCAAGTGATCATGGCTCTGTCTTTTCCTTCCCCAGCCCCAGCTCTGGGCACCTATCCTGATCCCCCACCTCCTTCTCTGCTCTCACAGGCCTCAGGCTCTTGTGTGAAAGCCTCTCACAAAATCAGAGAGAAAAGCTTAGTTCCGCACAGAAAGCATATTGAAACTGCAGATTATAAGATTTCTGACGGCGCTTGTAAAGGGGACTCCCTCGGACCAGCTCCATCCTACAGTTCCCGGCCAGGCTATATTTTGGACCAAGGTCTTTCCAAACCTTCCCATCCTCAAGGTGCCCTATACTTTCTCCACCCCTAGAAAAAGCCTCCTTCTACAGGAAGCCTGGCGGTAACACATTTACTGTAATTTTGTGGTAATTTAGCTCTCCTCTGCTTTTTTTCTTTTGGAAACAATGTGTGGAAAGGCCTGGGAGGCAAATTCTCCTGCAGTCAACCATAAGGCTAGTTACTCACCTAGACAAAAGAAATCTCTCCCTAAGACAAATTCATCTGCCTTGGGAGAATAGCTAGTACCAATGGGGACACTTTTCAGAGGCAGACAAGCCCCAATTTGCCATGTTTAACTTAGGATATTTTGACTTTACGAGGGGAATGAAAGTGATTCACCTTGAACGGAAACTGTTTTTGGGATTTTGAATTTGATCTTTTCCCGGGGCCAGTGCAGTGCAGTTCAGTTCTCTGTCTTGAAGCTGGGCAGGGTGGGTCCCTGTCAGCCCCCAAGCTCACAGGTGTGAATTGGTGACACTGCAGCCTGCTGTGTGGCTGAACTGGGATGTTCCACAGGGCAGGTGTGCTCCATGCAGTTTTGACTTAAACAATGTCTTCAACTTACAGTGGGGCCACCAGGATGCGCTCCCCGCTGACATCAAAGAGCAGCTGTAATTGCGTCTCCTGGCAGCCTGGGCTGTGCTGTAATGAAAGCTCTTAGGCTGAAAGTGGTTTGCCATCCTCCACTCCCCTTGTTGAGAAGAGTTTTTCTTTTCCTTCAAATCCACTTCCAAATGTGGTTTTTTGAAGCCAGAAATACATGCACAACCCAAGGCTTTTGGATGCGTGGCCAAATTCTCCATGGAAATAGCCAGGTGGCTTCATTTTTCAAAATCCTTTTGCCATCTTGGTAAAAGGGAAAAATTACTTGTTCTTCTTTTCTCTTCCTTCTTTGTAAGCATATTTTGGCAATTGCCCATTCCAACCCTTTGGCCATTTTTCAGTGGTATTCTTGTGTCTTTGTAACACATATGTTGTCCCAGTTCTGTCTGGTTCTGTGTGTGTTTCAATAAGACACGGAAGGGGCAGATGGCTTGGCCAGGCTGTCAGAAGAAGAGGGAGGGCAGAGGCTCCTGGGCGTCAGCCACTGGCTTTTTCCTCTACCTGAGGCGCTGACTCCACACATTCTTTTTTTCTTCCTTATGTTTTTTCCTTAAAGTCGTAGTGATAAATCCTTTAACTAATACCAGAAAACATTTTCCCAGCCCAACACGGTGGCGACCAGTGCCAGCAGGCAGCAGGGAGCAGAGTCTGAGAATGGATCTTGTCTACACACCCTCCATGGACACTGGGCTTTCCAAATCTTACCCTGAGCTTTTCCCACTCAGACCCCTGAAAGCATGCCTTGGCCTCCTGTGTGTTAGAACAACAGTATTATCACATCTCCATGTGCCTTACAAATGTAAGCAGTCTGATCTCCAGCAAGCGACCTACACCTCCCTGAGCCTCCAGGGCTGCTTCCTTGGCGTAAGCAACACTGGGGACAGGGTGCAAGCCCGGGCAACTCTGGAAAGCTCTGCTCTGCAGGGTGGAAGGGGCTTGGGGATTGATTGATTTTTTTTTTATCTGTTTTCTAACTTTTTGTAGATAATACAAATGCTGAATGCACACTTTTTCATTTTTTATTTTTTAAAATTTTTTAGACAGGGTCTCCCTGTGTAGTTCAGGCTGGCCTTGAGTTCACTTTGTAGCCCAGGATGGCCTCAAACTTGTAGCGAGCCTCCTGCCTCAGCCTACTGAGTGCTGGGATTATAGGTGTGCACCACCACACCTGGCCACATGGTCTTCATAAACTACAGAATGCATTCAGTTTTTCGATGTCAAGGTCATGAGTCCTCTGTGCTCTGGTTCGTTTCACCCACAAGTACCAATTCCCTACAATGACAGTATTTATTATACATCAGAAACATATGCTGATCAAAAATTTCAAAAATAAAATAGCAAATTAAAACTTATCAAAACTACAGGATGTGGGTATGAACTGCTTACTTTAATGTATGATAATTAATTATATTTTCCAGGAGGAAGAAATGATCATTTGGGAATTTGGGAGGGTAAATATCTGTGTCCCAATGTATTATTTTTAAATTTTTTTCTCAATTATCTTTACTGAAAATCAGTAATTATATAGCATATTAAAAATTGTAGACAAATATTGAAATGTGAAAAATATGAGATGTAGACAGAATGAATTTTATTTTATTTTCCATAATTTTATTGAGAAACAAATAGCAATGAGACAGTTTCAAATCAAATTAGTAGGACAGTTTGACAGAGTGAATTTTATTTT